TACTACTACTACTACTACCGCTACTACTACAACTACAACGATGAGGAGAAGGAGGAGGACGGCGTTTACCGCTCCTACTAGAGTTGTTTTCCTAGAGGCTCCAACTCCTAAGTAGGGTCGCACTGGGATACTTATGCTTAAATCTTGAACGCTTGGGCTGCGGTCGCTGCCACGTCGACGTGGCCAATTTGGGGAGACCCGTTTTGTTTGGGAAAACCCAGAGAGTTGGTTTGGGAAGACCCGGTTGGTTTGGGAAGACCCGGAGAATTGGTTTGGGAAGACCCGGTTGGTCTGGGACGACCCGGAAATTGGTTTGGGAAAACCCGGTTGGTTTGGGAAGACCCGTTTGGTTTGGGAAGACCCGGGGAGTTGGTTTCGGAAGACCCGGTTGGTTCGGGAAGACCCGGAGGTTGGTTTGGGAAGACCCGGTTGGTTTGGGAAAACCCGTTTGGTTTGGGAAGACCCGGGGAGTTGGTTTGGGAAAACCCGGTTGTAGCGGGAAGACCCGGATGTTGGTTTGGGAAGACCCGGTTGGTTTGGGAAGACCCGAAGAGTTGGTTTGGGAAGACCCTGTTGGTTTGGGAAGACCCGGGGGCGTTGGTTTGGGAAGACCCGTTTGGTTTGGGAAGACCTGGGCTTGGTTTGGGAAGACCTGGCGGTCTGATTCCGCAACATTTGGTTTGGGAAGACCCGTTTGGTTTTGGAAAACCCTGGCCCGGGCTCGAGGTCAGAGGTTCTCGGGTGTCTAGCCTCGGGATGCGTCCGGTGGTGCCCAAATCGTCCCGATCGACCGCTGGAGACCCGAGATATGACCCGAAGGCTGGACGAAAATCTTTCAGGGGGCGGGCCTTCTCAAAGGCGGTAGGGCTTCTCGGGAGCCACCCAGCCTTCTTAGAAGAAGAACAAACACTGGCATAAACATAAACTTTTGGCGCTCCGCGCGGATTTCTTGGATTTGCGCCGGAGGCGCCGCTGGGGGGGCCCAGCGCGGATCCAAGAAATCCGCGCGGAGCGCCAACAAAGTTATGGTTATTGCGTTTTTTCCTCCCTCGATTTCTGAGAAGCCCTGTGGCTTCAGAGAAGTCTTGCCGAGCTTCTCAAGAGGCCGGAGGCCTTCCGAGCCTTCCGAGCAGGCCCGCCCCCTCTGCCCTCCCCCTTGGTCGCCCTGCCGATGTTTTTGGCACTGCCCCGCCTGTCTTGCTGGCGAAGCGCCGTCCCAGCCATCTGACGACGTGACTTCTTCAGCCCCAGCGTTATTCCTCGATCTCGTGGTTCGGCCCCGGCGTTTCTCCTCTGGGGCCCGCCATCGGACCCAGAGACCATCGACGACGGATCCTGGGCGAGAGTCCACCCCCAGGGCAAAAAGGTCGGGGCCCCCTGGGCCGCGCGTGGAACAAAAGAGCACATCGTCGGCGATCGTCGGATCGTCTGGTGTGGCGTCGGAGCGCTCCCTGAGAAACAAAAATCCTCCAAGCGCGCGCAATCGACGCGGGCGATCGGGAGGTGCGCCGCAGAGGCTGCGGGAGAAGGACGGCGAAGAGGAGGCAGAAGGTGGAGTCGCCCGCGAGGGCACATGAACTACAGACAGTAGGAGCTTGACCACAAGAAAGCTTCCACAAGAAACCCAACCCTGAGACCCCAGGACGTCACTTGTCTCTCTGGTGTGGGAACGTCACGCTCTCCATCGCAAAACCAGCGAAACCCAAGACAACCAGGGCACCCTGGAGGCAAGCAGGGTGCTTCTTGGCATGGGTTTCCACTCTAAGGGAAATGTGGAGCAGCCTGTCAAGTCATTTATTCCATACGGGGTCCCCCAGAGGTCTCGACCCATTGCCAAGGCACCGGCTCTTCATCCTGGGTTGTGTTCTGGCTGTCCCGAGGCCCGCAGGCCGAATGTACAACGAAAACCTCCTCCGTCTCCGTCGTGACGTGTTTCACTGCGCGAGGGGGTTTTTGCGGGGAAATGGGGGAGCAGCTCGCCGCCTGCGACAGCATGAGCACGTCCTGCAGCAGCATCGAGTCCGCGATCTCCAGCAGCTCCTCCGTCGTGTAGTCGTCGAACTCGATCACGGTGGGGAATCTGCTACGCAGGCCAGGGTTGGTGTCCTGGGCAGCAATCCAAGACCCAGACATCCGACGATCTGATGCGTTGAATCGCTGCGCCTGTCCCAGACTTCGGCCCCCCGGTGCCCGTGGCGGGACCCAGGGACCATCAGGCATGCCTGCGGGGCGACGAACTGGCCCCAGGGGAGGGGTCGGGACCTTCGTGGGGCCGCGCGTGAAAATCCATCGGGCCGTCGGATGTCTGGGGCCGGGGCATACAGTGCATGCCACCACCGGCGAGCCCGGGACCAGCCTGGGCCGAGGATTGGTGCCCCGAGGTCCGATGTCCTCACTTTGTAATATCCGCCGACCCGTCGGCGCGTGGGAGACGCTGTCGGCGCCTTCGTCCTCGTCCTCGTCTCCCTCGTCGTCGTCTCCCTCGTCGTCGTCGTCGTCGCCGTCGTCGTCGTCGCCAGTCCCACGAAGGACACTGAGAAACGATAAAGGCAAAAAAGAAGGTCGTAAGGAAGTCGATTCCCTTCCCTTTTTCTCTTCCTTGATGTGGGATGGAGTAAGGGGGGTGAAGACACCCTCCTAGATAGCAAGCCGTCTAGCTCACTCCCACCCGCCCTCCCAACACATACGTAACAACCGAGTCTCAGCATGTTCGGCGGTCGTCTTTGGGTGGACAGCTACTGGGAACCAACGCCGAGCCCATGTGCGCGACGCTGGGGCGAGGTGCGCCACGCGTGCCAGGCGCGCCACGCGCGCCAGACACCCTTGAGGCCCAAGCGTGCCAGGCACGCTTGGTGCGCCAGATGCGCCAAGTGCCTCCGCGTGTGCCAGGTGCGCCTGCGCACGTGACAGCACACATCTGGAAACATGTCGGCCCCCCCCCATCCTTGTCGAAAACCAATGCCCATCATTGTGCCTGGTGGGCCTGCGCACAGCAGGCCATACGCCACCACCCCCGCCGTCCCTGTCAAAAACCACTTGACAGTGATCGAAGGGTGGCCGCGCATGATCCAGATTTAGCCGCGAGGTACATGTTGCATTGTTCTTGTCAGGGATGGGAGCCCTGCGCAAAGCAGGCAATACGCTGACACCCCCGCCGTCCCTGTCAACAAACAATACAAATGCTCGCGGGCCTCACGAACATGACTCCAGACTTAGCCCCAAAGTGTACTTTGTATTGTTTGTCGACAGGGATGGTGGGGGGGCCGCATCGGGTTGGTTGCGCATGCTCCGAATTTGGAGGCAGAATGTGTGTGTGTGTGTTCGTATTGGTTTCTGCCACGGATGCTTGGGGGGAAACCTCATGGGTTCCTCATGGTTCCTGGTTGGCTGCCGGTCGCCTCGGGGAGGGGGTGTATATCAACAGGGAACAAGGATACTGCGGGGGGTAGGAGGGGGTCCCCGGTCAGATTAATGCCCCCCCCCAATGTCCCTGCGGGTCCCCGGGGGGTCGCCACAAGGGGTCCTGGGGGAAGTCCTGCCTGCCTTCCGGGTCGGCGGCACCGGCCCTAAGGCCTTCGCGATGCGAGTTCCCAGGGAAAGCCCCGACCCGTCCCCCAGAGTTGGTTCTTCATCCTGAGTCGTTTTTGGACGGCCACTGGGGGCCCTGCAAGGGCCCCCCGTGGCCAAAGCCTGGGAGCAAAACTCCGAACCGAATCGTTCGATGCGCCGGAGATCTGGGTGTGTACGCCCTCCTGGAGCTGCCCCCGAGCACACACGCACTTCGGGCTTTGCGGGGCCCACCTCCCCACCATACATGGTGGGCTGCCCGGGCGGAGATACCGCGGCCAAGTAAAGGATGGGAATCGGTTCAACAATGCTGAACCTCCTCCTCCTCCTCTTCATCCTCGTCATTCTTCTCCTCATCCCCTTTCTCCTCCTCCTCCTCCGCTCCTCCTCCTCCTCCTCCTCCTCCTCCCCCTCCCCCTCCCCCTCCCCCTCCTCCCTCTCCTCCTCCTCAACCTCCTCCTCCTCCTCCTCCTCCTCCTCCTCCTCCTCCTCCTCCTCCTCGGCCCGCAGAAGCCCGAGCTGGCCCTGCCTCCCGCGGAGGTCCAGCAGCTTCCCCATCTCGAGGCTGTAGCCCGCCAGTATGACCACGAGGTCCGAGCGGAAGTCCTCTTCGGCGGCGAGCGAAGTGGGGAAGCGAGAAAGAGAAGGCCTTCCCAGAGGGCGGCGGGGCTTCTCGGAGGTCCTCGCGCCTTCTGAGGCATGTGCTTTTGTCTTCGGGGGAGGCCGGGGGACTTCCGGGCCCTCTGAGAAGGCCCGCCCCTTCTCGCTTCCCCCCCCCGTCGCTCGCCGCCGATCTGGGGAGGGCTCCGGCTGTGCACCTCGACATCGGTCCTGGCCTCGGCATGGCGCGAACGGGTCTCGAAAGAAGAAACGGTTTTTGATTCCCCCCGCAACGTCCGTGACGGGGGGGGGGGGGTCTGGTCCTCGTGGGGGGGCAACGGTAAAAAGGGCGGGACCCGCACGGGAAGGGACCTGGGCGCCGGACGACGACGACGATTACGACGCCGACGACGACAACGACGACGACGACCACGACGACGACGGCGACGACGAGGGAGACGAGTACGAGAACGACGGCAACGAAAACGACAACGAGAACGACGACGACGATGACGACGACGAAAACGAGGAGGACGAGGAAGACGAGAAGGAGGAGGAAGCACACGACGACGACGACGGCCGCCTCTGAAGATCTCTTACCAGAGGTGTCTGGAGACATCTGGGGATCTGTGCAGGCCCTGGAAGGCCCACGGAGACGACAACGACAACGACGACGACGATGGCGACGACAAGGATAACGACGAAGAGCACGGCGCCATAGCTGTGGGGGGGGTGGGGCGGCGGCCCGTGAGGAGGGGGGGGGTGGGCGATCCCTCCGTCACGGACGTTACGGGTTCCACAAGTAAGAAAGCTATCTCGAGGCGGGCTCCGGA